ACACACACACACACACACATACACTTGGTGCTAATAATCTTGGAGTAAAGGGTTAATGCCCTTACACATTCAGCTTCTTGAGCTGTACTGTACCATGTGGAGAGTAGAACATTTTAAGTAAAGTTTTTGGGGGCAGATTCAAAGTTAAGTTCCCAAAAAGGAAGCGTTTCTCCTCCATGATGATCTCATGGGGACAAACTGAAGGCTGGAATAAAATACTAATTGGAGCCTGATCCATAAAGGATTTTTGATAGAAACTGATACAAATATTTTCTCACTCACCTTCTGGCAACAAGCACTGGGCTCCTATGTGAACACAGCTTTCTCTGCAAACGTCTAGAAATATCAGCATTTCGGTTTTCTCTGCGCCTTGTCAGGGGTTTGAAGTGGGCGGGGTACCCACATGGTTCTGATCAAGCAGATTGAGTATTATTACTCTCTTAAAAATGTTTTTAACTTGTTGCTTATATAGCACAAAAATTTTTAGGTTATAGAAAAGTACTTAAGATTTGGGGCTTTAAGACTTAAATACAATATATTAGCTGATGCTCTTTAAAAAAACAAAGATAGCATGATTTAATTTTTCTGATTGGAATCCTATAAATTTAATTATTAAAGAATTATAACCAACCACTTAATGCAGAATGAACAGTTTTACATTTGAAAAATGAACCTGCCAGTGCTCTCTGGTAGACAGACTATGAAATGTAGGCTGCTGCTAAATTTCTTAACTAATCTTTGGCATTTCTTGTTATTTATCGGCCAATATGACCTGATACCTGAGCCTTATCGATCTCGCTCTACGGTGATATATGGGTCGGGCTCTGATACAAACTACACTCAGGAAACAGCAAGAGCTGAGTCCAGAGAAAGCTAGATGATGGCTGAGCCCTGTTGCTTTTTGTTTTCCTCCCCTTGTAGCCAAGATGAAGGGATGAAACTGGGCAAAGATCTGAGAGCTTACTTAAAGTTGTATGACAATTTCAAGAAAATTAAGGCCTTAAAATGTCAGAAAATACTTCCAGCTGGAAATGACCGAATGTGGCTTTAACTGATAAAACACCCAACAAAGCTAACCCAGTCAGGTAAGAGATCCCGAAAAACATCTGCAACCACAAAGGTGATCGTTAAGGTTTCCCATCAGAGCCACTGCTGCCATCAGTTTTCCCCAATAAACCTGTGGCAGTAACAATACATGATACTTGTTAACACTGTAGTTAGTATCATGTAGTAACAAGATGGACACAGTATTGTGAACCCACAGTTTCACTGCCGTCCCTTTCCAGATGCAAAAATATAGGTTTTTGTTTTTTTTATCGTGACCCTGGTATGAAAATATATTTTTCCAATGGGGCATCCTCTCTCTTTGCAATGTAGATATTCAGAAGATCACCTCTGGGGGAAAAAAGGTGAAAGCCAGTAGTTCTTTCCTGCCTCCAGAGCTTATAGCAAATAAGCTATCAGCGCTTATCAACTTGTCTTCATGAGCAATGATGGATCGCTAAGAGGCGTCTCGGGATATCCAGCCACTTTCTGTGAGGAAGGTGAGAATGCGCTTCTTCAGGACCTTGTCCAGATAGCTGGGCAGCCGGCTCTTAGCCGGGATGCCTTGCCTTTTCTGCAGGTGGTCTTTGATGATGATGGTTTTGACAGTCAGGTAGCGTGCTGGGCTGAGGTTGAGAGAGTTACACAGCACCTTCTCCCTGTCTGATAGCAGCTCAAAGCCTGTCAGATTCTCGATGGCAGCAAACTCACCATCTTTCCCCTCTTCTTTGATCCCACCTCCAACCCCCAACCCTCCGGCAATGCCTCCTCCCCCTCCTCCTCCGAGTCCAATCCCGGAGCCAAGCCCGCCCCCTCCTCCACTGCCCCGTTTGGAGGTGACCACACTTTTGTTCTCCTTGCGTTTCTCCCGTTTGTGGCGCGCTGCTTCATACTCAGCAGACTCTTCCAGGCGGGTGATGCCGTTGCGGCGGTAGCGCTGCAGCTCACGCACCTTGGCCCTCAGCACACGCTCTTTATGCATATTCTCAAAGAAGTCTTCAAACTCCCGATGGGCCATGAACTGACAGAGCCCCCGCAGCCTGACTCGCTGCTCCTTCTCTTCTTTGGTGATCTTTCTCTTGGGTGTACTTGGTACTGAACCTGATCCTGCTGCTGTGGAACCTGATCCAAGTGCACCACCAGCAGCTCCTCCCCCACCCACACCACCAGCAGTGCCTAGGCCTCCCAGGGCCCCTGGTTTCTCCTTCTCTTTGTCTTTTTTGTCTCGGCCCAAGAATGTAGGCACAAGATTGTAGTCTCGGGCGATGTTCTTGCGTCGCTGGCGCTCTCGGAGCTTGCGCACATACATGTCCACATGGGCACGTTTCATCTCAATTTCTACATCCTCATCATCGTAGTTGACAGACAGTCCGCTAATGAGCTTCTCTGCATCCTGGTCATATTCAATCTCATAGTCGTCACGAAGCGGCATGTAGCCCAGCTGCTGCTGTTCAGTCAGGCTAATATCCAGTGGGGGGAGAGGGGTGGTGAGGCTGGGCGACAGGGGGCCCCCACTTGGGCAGGTGTGGTCGGTCACCCGGTTGGGAATGCTGTCTGGGATACAGGCCTTACCTAGGTTTCCATGGATGTACATGGTGACATAGTGTTCCATAACTTCCTGTGGAGTACGGGAAGCTCCAACATGGGCAGCCATGTCCTCCTGAAAGGCAAACAAACAGGAAGTTTGTAGTTTTCTTAGAAACTAAAGCAGAGCTGAAATCAGTTGATCAAAAAAAATTACCTATATATTCCAGCTTCTCAAATGCCTTTCTGTCTATTTTTGTAATATGAATACGTCAGACTTTTGGACTGTTGGTCAGGCAAAACAAGCAATCTGAAGATATCACCGTGGGTTCTGACAAGCTAAAGGATTTTGAATATTTTTGTTAATAAGTCATTTTAAATGTCTGTATTTCCTTTAATAATTTCTGAGTAAGTATTTGTGAAAGAACTGCGCAATTGAATAACAACAACATGGGAAATAGAGACAGTATACAAGTGGTAGACTTCCAATTTATTGTAATTTATTGTAACCTAGCCATTTAAGTAAGGCTCTGGAAGTTTCCTTCCAGTTAATTTCCAGAACATACATCTGCAGCCAGTTAACTTTGCTAAAAGATTCATTCATGTTTACTTAGGTTCAAATGTAGCAATTCTTTCAATGAAATTCACGTTTTCCCTATAATCTGAAACAAATTACATAGTTCCTAAAATGTATTTTCTGAACAACTAGTTTTTAAAGCATTTCCCTACTTTTTGTACACTAAACAGTTACTGAATTACTAAGAAATTATCACATGCTTACTTACAACTCTAAACAAGACTCATGGCTTTTGGCATGCAGTGGTAAAAATTAAGGCCCTAGAGCTGTAGTCTACGACTAAGGAATGGGCCTAGAAATTCAATTTATAAGATTAGTGATGTATCTTGGTTTGTGTAACATGTTACAACCACCTAACGTAAGTGAACAGCATATTATTATTATTATTATTGCGTAGAGGCCTACTGTGGTCCAGGTTTTGGTTTCTAGTTAGAGATTGTTTGTTGTGCTTTTAAACTTAATATAGTATAACACTTGTCAAAACTAAACTTTCGGGCTGTTCTTCTGTTTTACAAGTCAGGAGTCAGAGCTTCACGTTATGTCCCGCTTGTATTTAATGCTCAGTCGTCCAACTTTTACGACACTATGCCCCAAAAGATAACTTACGTTGTCGCAATATTATTACTACCAGTTAAAATTTACTCTTGACGTTTCAAGCACTTTTAACAGACTCTTGTGAGTGCATATGATGTTCTGCAGATATAAAGTAAGCAACTTAAAAAGCGATATACCCAGTTTCCAAATCCATATTGCTCGATAGCATCGAGCAGCGACTGCTCTTCCCTGCTGGTCCATCCTCCCTCTGCCTCGGGACCCCACAGAGAGAACCGACCGCCGTCGACCTGCTGGTACCCGTGCCATCTCCGGTGATTACCAATTTCTGCGCCCGCTGAGAAGCACTCTGGGCACAGCTCGATATCGGGGCAGTCGGTGCAACGAAGCCGAAGATCTGTAACATCTGCAAGGCAGTTAACACAGTACTTCTTCCCCAGGTCAGCCATGTTGCCTGGCTCCTGCTTCTTGTTGTTGGAGGCAGAACTGCGCGCCTGCGCACCTCGTGCATCGCAGCGCGAGCTCCTCACATCCTGCTTATCAATATTAATGAGTGTGGTTCAAGACGCTTGTGATTGGTCCCCGATCCTAGTTTCCCGGACAACCGAAACAAAACGAAGGGTTTCATTGACTGCAGAAGTGCAGGAGTCATATAGCTTCTAGACAAATTGTATAATAATACTTTTGGGAATCATTTTTATTGAAAAAGATGGATGGAGAGGCAGAATATAAAGAAAACGAGGTGAAGAACACGTCAGAAGCTTCATTCAGTGAGAAGGACAATTCTCCACTTCCTGTGAATGGAAATAAAAAAGAAGGTGCCCCAGCTGAAATAGCTGCATCAGATCTTCAAGAAGAAAACTATGAAAGTATGAAAGCTACTGAAGAGCCTGCTGTAGAAGCAGCCACCTCTGAGCTAGGGGAGAGCAGTGGAAATGAGATCCATGGTGTCCACAATACAGGTGAAGACTTGGACGGGAAGGTGAATGAACTCAATGACCAACCAGTGTCCAGTGAGAAAAGTATTGTTTTTGAGATCAATAGCAGTAATGACATTGGAGTTCCCAGACTGCATCTTGACACCGCACAGAGAGAAAACACAGCCCGTGCACAGGAGGAAGAAGAGGCGGACAGAGAAGAGGACTTCAGCCCTGCCCCTTTAGACAAAGAAGGCATCAGCTATGAAGAGTACATGCAGCTTCTTCAGGAGCTGTATAAGGAGAGAGATCAAGCAGGGCATCACAGCAGCCAGCTCCAGACGAAGCTGGCAGAGTACCTCCGTAAGAAGGCCAGGGATGAAGGACAGCTGGACAGCAAAATTCAGGTGTCAGAGCAGCTTCAGGAGTATGAGAAGTACATTAATATTTTGACTGACCTGAAACAGCAGCTTACCACTGACTCAGAGACAGCCCAGCAGCAGACAGAAGAGCTGCGGTTACAGGCCCAAGAGAAGCTGGACAAGGTTGGTCCTACTGCAAGAGCCTGTGTAGGTTTTTACATGGTTCTCAAAACCTGCTAACACTAATTTCCCAGGATTTATGAACAGAAGAAATGAACCTAAAGATCTGAGGATAAGCACTGGCTCATACTGCTACATAATGTATATACTGTATTTTCATATTTTGATGGAGTGCTCAAAACCAAGTTTTCAGGAGCTTTAATTGCTCTTTAATCTCTATTGGGGAAAAGGAATACAAGGAGGCTACACATGCTGCTACACAGTGAGCTGGGTAGATGTGACATGCATACTAAGCCATACAGACCCTGCTTTAAACTTTATGCCGACATGGGAATGCCGCAGGAACAAACACAACAAAATGCCATGAAAAATTCTCATCAAAAAATGTGAAATTTTAAACATTGCAGTCTGCAAGATTTTTGCAAATTGCAGAAACCCAGTGTACTCTATGTAAGAATTACAAATACAACATTTAGCAAGTTCTCTCACTCACATGGCCACGCAAGTATTGCCATATAACTGCACATAACTCATATACATCTTTTCTCAAATACAGATTAGCACCGTAAATAGGGGAACACTACATGAAGTGCTAATTGTGTATAGTGTACTGATCAGTGTGCAAAACTGTCTTACCTTCATCCTCAGGTGGACAATGAGTGGCGAGCATTCATGGCACTGAAGCAGGACGTAGCTGTGACAATGCTAAGTCGACGCCTGGGCAAACAAGCTGCTCAGGCCAAAGTGGAGTCAACCCTGGCAGCAGAGCAGCTTCGGCAGGATGATCTGATCAAGGTGCGGCTCAAGCACATCAAGCTAAAGCTCAAAATTCACAAGCTGGAAGCAGAGCTCAGAGATTGGGAAGAACATGGCAGGGACACCCTGCAGCTCCAGTTTGAACAGTTGCAGGTTCAGAGGCTAGAGCAAAAAAAACAAGCTGAAAAACAAAGTGAGGAATTGTTAAAGCTGCAGAAGAAGATGAGCAGCAGCTTGGAAGTAAGTTGAAGAATCCACAGGTACAGATTGTGTCAAATTCTTTTCTGTAGTTGGTAAATTTTGTTTTTTTTGTTTTGTTTTCTGCCCTATCAGCTCCTGTCAAACATAAAAGAGAAGCTCTTCTGGAGCCAGACGGAGATCCAGGCCAAGCGAGAGCAGCTGGCTGAGGTGGAGGCTACGGTGGCCAGGAAGAGGGACCTCCTGACCAGGACCAAGCAGGCACGCAACAGGCTGCAGAGAGACAACCAGAGGCTGAAGGAGTGTTGCGGATTGCTGGGGAACAGGGTCCTGCTGCGGGACTTTGAGGACACTGTGGATGCCTCTGACCTCCTGGGGGAACAACTGGAGAATCTGAAGTGCCGACAAGCTGAAATTGCCTTCAGCTCTGGCAGATGGAAGAAGCCTCAGACAACATGAAGGAATGACTCACTTATCATCTTAAATTGCAATCAGACTACACAGTATCAGAATGATATTCATCAGATGAGGACCATCATGGAACGAACATGAATATGAGATCTTAAAATGTGTAGTTCTATCCTGTGTAACGTGTTATTATAAACAATGAACACCTCTGCAATTAGGGAACTTCGCAAGTTTGTGAACCAAAGACAAGGCCTATGACACTTTGAAAGTCCTGGTCCTGGAAATACTGTAAAAGCTATGATGTTTAAATCACTGTGAAAAGCCTGTACAGTCATGATTTGTAACTTAAATCAGATTGCAATAAACATGTCAAAGTCAAAATAAAAAACTGGATCAATATTTAATATTTTTCAGCCTTTGTTTTAGTGTTTTCAGTTTCCAGTAGTTGATTTGGAGGGTTTCAGGTATTTACTGCTTTACAGTACACAGGCCATCTCAGGCAGAAAATGCTGATCTCACTTGCATTCAGGAGGTGGCGCTGCTGTACAACACAGTATATGCAGGCAGTTCTAATAATGAAGGTAAATGAAAACAAGTGTTTGTAGGCATGCGTGATTCTTGGTCTTCGGGTTCTCTGTAGAAAAGACATTTGTCACAGTTTGTATAGGGAACTGGATGCATCCGGTTTGTCTTATTGTTTCAGTCTGCCCCTCAGAAAAAGTCAGGCAAAATCAAACGTAAAAGAATATGTTCAGCATTTTATTAAAATGTTTGTACTGGTTAATATAGTTATATGGATCTCTAAGAAGACCTGAGACTAGATTTATATAAGCTCTGTAACTTCACAGGCTCTGCAGTGAACAGAACAACCGCACGCATACATAATAAAGCACATACATTTTACAGCATATTAGGGTACAAATGGCAGGTCCTAATATTCAAAGTAAATACAAATACTAATATACCAGAGGGAGCATTTAATATAATTTGCTATAATTTATGGACTCAGTTTGAAAGATCATTGACAATGTGAAAGTCAGTGGCAGACTATTTGCTAGTTCTTGTCTCTTACAGTTAGTTTATGCGTTCCAGGTATGGTTAAATAGGTTTTCACTCTGACTGTTAAGAGGCAAGAACAGTCATGCCAGCAGCACTGTGGGACTGTATCAATGCACAGTGGTGCTTTAAACCAAACAGTAATGTCTGCATGCTAGAATTTTCACAGTGACAATAGTAACATGCTGATGTTAAGCAGGTATATAATGTCACAATCTTACTTTCATATATTAGCATTTGCTAATTAGCACAGACTGCAAGTTAGATCACACTGATGGAAAAGTCATTAGTTCTTCAGGTATTTGGTCCTACATCATAAAGGATTACAAATAAAATGCACAAAGTTGTCACCTCTATGCCTTTCGCACCCCACCCTTGTTGTCCCAACCATTGTCCACCTTTTAATCCCTCCCCCACCAGATCAGAGGGATATGACTTTCAGCTTCTCCAGCATAGCTTCGATCTTTGGATGGGACAAGTCCATACAGAGGACATGTTTATTTTTCAGCTTGACTCTGTGAACCAAAAAATATTACAATTATATTATGTAATGCAAAAACCTACTATGTGACATCATTTCTTATCTCTGGAAAGCTCTAGATCAAAATGATTCTGAAACATTCTGAAAAGGTTTCAAAAAGATATAAATTAATTTCCAACAATGCAGGTTTTAACTTAGTATTAAAGAGTCAGTATCACATTAGCAGGAGTCTTACACAATGAGGACAGGACAACCAGGGTTCAGCACATCCATTTGGAAGAATTCTATATCCTTTGGATCAAGACTGTTCCAATCCACAAAGGAAATGAAGCCTAGGCACATGGGTTCTGCTTCAAAAGCTAGATAAAAACCATAGATAGAAACCATACAAAACACACTTTCTGAGTTAGTAAATGACATGTGCAGTCACTTTGGTATACTATCAATTGACTCTGGTCCCAGTCTCAACAGTTTATCTCAGCCAAAACTGACTTTCCAGAGAGTATATGAGCAGTGTGCCAGTTTTGCTTTAATATCATATTGTTGGTGGTACTGTATGTCACTTTGACTATGCCACTATTTCACTGCCATCCAACCAGCATATGGCACATAAAAACACCACTCAGTCACTCCTCGTTCACAGTCACACACCTGTCAGAAAAGCCTCAGGTTTACCGTATCTCATTTGGCTCAACTTCATTTTATTGATCACACATTTGTTCAAAATTTTCACCACTGAACCAACTCTATACAAAATCACAGGCCTTTGGTTGTTTATTGTAAAGTGTTTATCACTTTGCATCCATTTTTGCTGTGTGTCAAATTATTAACACATGCCTCCGGCCACCACCAATGTGGATGTACTGTGTGCTATGTATGATACGTGGCTCACGTGCTAGTATCACTGCTGGAGAAGAGCAGTGTATTGAAACATCACTGATGGATTTTAACGCTTATTTAGCTGCTGAAGCCTTAATTAATGACTCTCTTCTATAAACTTCCTTAACTTTTTTATCTATCATTAACTTGTATAAAAACTGTTATTCATTCACAGTAAAACTCACCGTCTGAAAGAACCTCAATTAATGTCTTTTCTGGCATTGGATGAGTCTCGGTACGGAGATCTTTTTCATGTGGACGTTCAGGCCAGCGGCTGGGGGTGGGTACATACATATCAACAAGTCAACTTACAGCAAGTGATTACTGATGTTACATTTAGGGCACATCCACCAGGGTGTCAACAAGGAAGCAGCTATCATGTGACAAGCTATAGAAACTTTAAGGGTTAGCAAATATATTAAAAAATACATTAACATTTTTGTAATGGTTAAACATCTTTTGGAGGCCAATTATGCAGATATTTATGGTTTTATTTGACCAGCTTTGAGGTATCTGTCTATAAGATTTCTGCCTCCACAAAAATTCAAAGCTCATAGCATTGAAAACATGCATTAAAAAATAGAAATGCCTTTCTTGAAATAATGTCCTGGTTATTCAGGATCATCCAAATCTACCCCACTTAGCTATATTGCTTATTGTGCAAAGGATCACATCAAAAGGCTCCTGTGGATGCTACCCGCTGTACCACATGAGTGATATGCTTTCAAAATGGCATTTTTGATTAATGTGAGAGCTGTGTTGTTGGGGGAAAGGTGATGGCTTTGGGGAGGGTGAAACTACTAAGAACCAAAATTCACATTTCCTAATATTCTACAACAAAGGACAGTCCTAACTCTGTGCTGTGTATTTTATTGTATTATTAACTTAGAGAATAAGAGATGTAAGGTACTCCAAGACGCTGGATGCAGCAACACACACATCTTCGCTGCCTACTGAAATCTCACTGGAAAACACGGGTTAAAGGCAGTTTGCAATACAGTTTCATTAAGTTTAGAAAAACACATTGTGAATACTAGATATGAGGTCAAACAATATGGAGGAATGCTTTTCATGACCATTCATTTCTAAAATATTTGTTCATATACACTGTAAATCATTTCAAGCTGGTTCAACTTAGAAACAAAAGCTCCTCTGTTGCCTTGAAAACATGAATAAACCCAGGCTGAACAGTTAGTTCACTGTTGTTTTGTGAGTTTTGACAATGTTAAACTAACTCAGCTAAGTTAACTGAACTTGAGAAAACCAATAAACTAAAGATGTTAAATTGACTCAACTTCCAAATGCATGGAAACGTATTACAGACAAGTCTGTTTTCCATTTCTGTTTCTTAGTTTAAAGTATCAGTTCTTCATCTGACAAACAGAACTTCACAGCTATAGTTGTTAATGGCAGTACAAGCACAGCATATTAGACTGATCCCATCTTGTCAGAGCCAGAGTGTGTGAGGGTAGTGACTGAATTCAGTACTAACCTCCATCATGGTGTGCATCATTTTCATTATTAGAAAAAGAGACAACCATGACGTAGTTTAACATGTATTACAAGCAAAGAGAAACTTTCCACGCTGAATCGGCTTTTCAAAATCCAAAAAAGAAGAGTTTCGTTTTAACTCTCCAGCAAAACTTCAGTTAATGAGTTGAGTGAACTGTCAGCATTCATTCAACCCAATCAACAAGTCATGTTTCTAAGTTCTAAAGTGGCCTGAAATTTTTAAACTAAGTTGAATTAGCTTGAAATTAGTAAAACTTACATATTTGTTTTAACAAGAAAAGTAGTTGATTTCATGAAACTCCTGGACCATGTTTTACAGTGTATTTTCCATATATTTTTTTATATTTTTTTATATTTCCCAGTCAATTCACACAGACACACACATGATGTCAGCTGAGTGACATCCTTCCCCTGGAGGCCAGATAAACGTGGTTTTGTGTGCAAGCATTTCAAATGGATCTTTTTTCTCTCTGTCTCTGCAGCGACACCCATCTTTGCCTTCAGGAACATAAATGACAACATAAATGTGCTATATAGTGCAGCAATGGTCACTCAGTTGACATAAAAATTAATTCTATTATTAATCAACTCATTTCATGTTTTTCAAGCTAAGATGCGTTACACCACACAGCTGGTCAAGAAGGCCCAAGAAGCTGCCTCTATCCTCAAAGATCCCACCCACCCCCAGCACGGACTGTTCACTTCTCTGCCCTCTGGCTGGAGGATCAGAAGTGTGAAATGCAGGACCACTAGACTGAAAAACTCTTTCTTTCCCTCTGCCATTAGACTCCTAAACAGCTGAGGAGTTTATTACCAGGAAATATGTGATGTACTATTTACATTCTGTTTGCACATGCATAATTGCACATTGGCTGTTGACTGCTGCACAAGCTGCTCCCATGCAGCATACATTCTGTTATATTCTTATATATTTTTATTATATTGCTACATTTGCTGCTTAAAGTGCCTTAGATTTTGTGTTACTTATTCATCTACTTTATATTTCATTTGTATTTTGTGGCATTCATGTGGACGGCAAAGTAAGAATTTCATTGTACAGGGAAACATGTTTCCTAACTGTGCATATGACAAATAAACACTTTGACCTTTGACCTTGAGTTCCAGGTTCTGTGAGAATTCACTGTTGTTCTGGGTCTTATAGTAAATTCAGTGTTACTGGGTTCTGGGATATTGGTTGGACAAAAACAAGACAGCTGATGAACTCTCTAACTGTGGACACCCAAACAATTTTTAAAAGGACATGTTTAACAAACTGTTCATTCTTGTCCAGGCAAATTTATCTTCCAGCATCATCATCATTTGCTTCAAGTCCAGCGGGTCCAGCACCAAGCAGGACTCACGACCATTTTTCAGAGTGACACTGTAAGTCAGGGAAGAAAAAGATATATTATTCTTTTGTTTTTTTTATAAGATGATGCCACAGTTATGTAGACAAATTAAGGAGAATGTCTATGAGTTTTGATTTAAGTGATATCTGCTGATCACTGTCTTCCATCATATTACTCCAAATATCTACATGAAGCTGTTGATAAGACCGGATTGTATTCATGATTATGTTTTGGTGGAACATTTTAAGGATTACAATACTTTTTAACTGTCACTCTATTTATGTTCAGTATTGAATTTAACCAATTCTTGTATTCAAAATTTTCATATTACAGTGGATGTATTTCCAAACTCAGTCCCAACATATTAATTTCAGTACAAATTTAACTTTGTTACTTACTTAAGATAGACAGGACAAGGAGATGGCTGCTTCTCCACGATCAGGACCTGTACAATTGCTGGGTCAATATCATTCAAGCTTGTCAGGGATTCGCATGGTTTGCATCTGTCAGACACTGTGAAGCCACATTACACAAACCTTTCATCTAGAAAATACTGCGCAGTATTTGTCATCGTGTTTTCATATAATGTGCTGCTCTTTCATGACAAGACTCACATGCATCCTCTGAACGGTCACTGAGCACACGTGGCATCTCTTCAGTGGTTTTTTTCACAGAAGGCTGAGTAGTGATGGGTAACTCTGTGGTTGTGTCCAGTGGAGCAGGAGATGTGGCCAAAGTCTTGGTTTCATGCTTAACCGAGCGGCTAGGGGTTGGATGAGTAATATGTTCTTATCAACAAGTCACCTTGAAGGAAAACATTATGTCAATACTGTTCCTCCACTTAACAGTGAGAAGATGACACGGTCATCACCACATTGCAGTTACTTTACAGAACATATTCACCTGTCTTGGTTTTGATGTGTATGTTATGGCCTGTTCACAACCGGTGATGCTCTCTTTGAATGGAGAGAGAGACTCAGACATCCCACCCTAGCAAAACTAATCTCAGGGAGCATCTTTTTCAAAATTATATCAAAGTAACATTTAAAGTGGGACTGTGTAACTTTTGAAGAAACAAATAACAGGCCTTCTCTTACAATACAAATCTGAAATCTTGAGCAATAAAGTCCCCTTTGCTTTAATCAGGACACTCTGGGATTTTAGTGCTATATCCTTAAGTTTACTTGGCTTCGTATAGCCATGAACTTTTCATGTCTAATGTTAGCTAACATTAGAAAACTTTGCTGACTTTATCGCTCTTTGCTAAATTTTCTAATAGTATCTTCCATTATTGTGCAGTTGCTGCCTGCAACCACAGAAGGCGCTGCTCTGCAAATATAAAATTCAGTGCTAGGTGGCTTTAAGGAGAAATCTAATGGAAGGTTAATAGACAGTTGGTTGATCCAATTGATATGTGAACATATCAATACTGATCTGTTCCACTTCAGGTAGTAACAACTTAGCCTACCTCAAGGCAATGAAGCGCCCTGGTGTCACACACACCTCCCTGCCATCCAGCAGTGTCCCTCTGGAAAACAAGAACTAGGGTTTATTCTTTTGCAGCACAGTTTATTCATCTGCATTATAAGCTTATTTACAAATCACTGCCATGCTAGCAGCTATTTGAGGCTATTCTTAGGTAGGTACAGCATTTAGCAGGTTACGTTCACCACATCTTTTGCATTTAGCATCCTAAAATGAATGGTAGACAAACCGACTGAAAGACTTGCCCACATTGCCAGCATGGCTAAAAACTATTGCTTTTACTGAAACTGGACAAATGGACCAAGAAACAAACTTTGTTCACATAGGATCACATTTTAAAAAATTGTTATTTCACGTGATATTGTATTCTGTTGATAAACTGTAGGTGGGCTGATGCCTGTTCAACACACACACACACACACAGACACACACACACACACACACACACACACACACACACACACATAATACTTACATGATTTCAATTGTGTTACACATTTCACTTGGGAACCATATGGTTAGGCTGCTGACTGGGGAGGTTTCAGCTGGCTGTTTCATATCTTCCATTGTGCAGCGACATTTAGGGATGACTTGTGGAGTTTAAGGACAAATTTTAGCAACTTACATTATGAGTAAATTGTATATTCTTCAATTCTTAATATATTCTTCAAAAAAAAACAAACACTTAAAGCACTTTTTAAAGTCTGAGTAATTACTTGTGGGACTTTGATTTTTAAAAGCTGTTAAAGTGTTTAATAATTATAACTTCTATACAACTAACTGTTACCCTGATAGCAGTCAAAATCAGTGTAGACAAAGATCTACCAATAATAACAATCAATAAATGTTTACATAAACATTAAAAATGCAATAGGCAACCTTGTGCCGTTGCAGGTTCACAGGACACCAAAAAAGGCCTCACCTTGCTCGAGTACAGCAGCGGTGGTCATCATGTTATTTTGTTCCTGGGTGACAACCTCTGGCTGGTCTGTCTGTGCAGGCAGTTGGGTCGATGTTGGGGTTGGCTCTGAGTTTGGTTGGACTGACTGACTGTCTGGATGGGGTGGCTCTGTTGTTGTTTGTATAAGCAGTGGGATTGATTTCTTAGTTGGTTGGATGGGCTGCTTGTGTTGGGTTGGCTGTTGGGTGGGGAGAGCTGACTTTGTAGGCAGTTGGGTACTTGGTTTGGAGCTGGTCCCAAGAGAGTCTTCAGAAATACGCAGGCAGAACTCGCCATAACGCACAGAGTTGTCAGGTTTAGCTGTTGTGTGTGTTTTCCGCTCTGTGTCTGGAGAAGACAAGGTCCTTTTGAATGATTGGCAACTCTGTTTGGAGGTTCCATTTCTGAACATTAATTCATTTATAGGAACAATGAGACAATCAGCTATTGAAAATTAAATTCATTAATTCACATAAGCCTAATTACACAAGGACTTGGGCTGGGAATTCAGATCATCACTGGACATATTGTTCCATTTACTGACTTAAAGGCATGAAATAACACGTGACACAAAAACATACAAACAAAAAACATAATCACATTTATGACATCCATTATTACCCAGATAAATTCAACAAATTCATAATGATCATACTGTACTTATTTTTGGTTATAAATGCATATAAGGCCTATCAGAATAATATATTAAATTCTATTCCGTTATGAAAATGACCAGTGATGGAAGAAGTACTCAGATCCCTTAAGTAAAAAATAGCAATACCACAGGGTAAAAATACTCTGTTACAAATAAAAGTCTTGCATTCAAAATATTACTTAAGTAAAAGTACAAAGTGCTAAAAGTAACAGTACTCATTGTGCAGAATGGAACATTCCTAAAAAAAAATGTATGTAGAGGAGTAAAAAGACGTCAGCATTGTACTTAAGTACAGTACTTGAGTAAATGTAGTTAGTTACTTTCCACCACGGAAGATGACAATATAAAAATAGCCTGAAAGCAGTATTATGAGTACAGTTTATGTACTAAAGTGTATAAAGTCTGTAAAATCATTGAACTCACTCTCTTCAGAGAACTGGAGCAGAAGAGTCATCAAAAGCAGTTTACTAAAGATGAAGAGCCCCATCATGGATCTGGATCATAACACCTACTAGATTTCAGTCAGCCTAATCATGTTTATATAGACAGTATGCAGAGGTCAACTTTACAGGATGCATAATCTGATCATTCTGCAGAACAGCAGGAAGGAGGTACTGAAGCTGAATACTTGGCTTGTGTTGCAATACCAGAAGACTGAGTCCTCACCAAACAGCTCACTCCCATCTAGTTGTTCTGTCATGTCAGCTCATTTTACTGTAGGTGCATTACACTGATGAACAATTTAGGTTCTGTACTGGCACGTCAGTGACTGACTGTAATCTTTGAGCCATAGATATCAGCAAACACTTTGCAGCTTCCCCGGTGGCGCTCTCCCGGGCCTTTGCTGCAGCCGCCTTCAGCTCTGCTTGTTATGGGGTCTCTGTCTTTAGCGTGCTCCTCAGCAACAAGAACGCAGCTCAGCCGGTGACCGACTCAACCAGCAAACAATATTCGACTTTCTCACCCTGAAAAGCTGTTTGGTTGCTTTGGTCGTATGTTTACGGTTGTTGTCCGGCTGACTGATGATGAATGATGTCATCCAATGAGTTCTGATGCATCTGACTGAATGTGAACACAGCAGAATGCAGAATCCAGTATCTCTGCTTTCACCCTGTTGTTTGTTGTAATTCCCAGGACATCAAACTGACCCAGTGTGTCACATACAGATGCAAAAAGGTACCTTTGGCATACGCATGAGATGTACAAAGTGGTCAATACAGTACACTGTTAACCCACTCAGGTCAGCAAATGACACCCAGAGCAACATCTAGTTTTTGTGTGTGAAACTGAGGTGTTTGCTTCACACAGACGTGAGTGCGTTAACACTGTTATGTGTGTCTCATACAGACACCAAAGCCACCATCAGTATGACATGCAAAAGTTACTTGACAGAGTGTCAGTATTTAACGCCCTGGGATGAAAACATGTTGAATGTCTGGGCCTGATGACAAAATATATGTAGGCTAACCATCCAGATACTTCTGTGCTCTGTCTGTGCAATGTTGTGTATCTACAGTACATCTGCTTTATTTCCCGTGTACAGATACTTGAATTTTTCTCCTGCTCACTGATGATTGTATCATTTCTTATATCCTGTGAAAGGTTAGTAAGAGGTTTGCTTATCTCTGGTTATGAGCTTATTTAGCAAAATACCAGTAGCGGGCCGTCAGGGCCAGCAAGGCCTTCTCTGCTGGCCTAAACACTATTAGAAGCACTGACCTACATTTACAACCTAAATTCTAATATTTGTTCCATGAAATTGTATTAATTTATTCCCAACAGTCTGTTCTCTTCATTTTGTAGTATTTCTCTTGGCTGCATCGTTCCCAGAACGTGTATGTGGATGTTAGATTTTTTTGTCCAATCAGATTTCAGCCTCTATGTGTTGCCATGTCAATCTAATCTGCCCAGGGCCTTCAGAATCAGAAGTGCTGGCCCATGTAACTTAAACTATATTAGCAATGGGACTGTTTCTTTAACCAGTCAGATTTCAAATTCGCCTCACAGGGCCAGTTAGCTGGCCCACAATGATGTCAGCATTTTTTCCGTCCTCTGATTGGTTGTTCAGAGCAAAACTAGAAAAGGGCTTACGATGGAACTGAAATGCAGAGATCAGTTGCAGTTGTAGTGTAGAGGTTTTGGAGTTGTCTTAACTGGGTTTCTTGCTTTAGTAAAAACGGTATTCACCCTCAATGTGCGAAATTCCCCTCTCTCTGTAATGCCACACTTTATTATATTGCGTTTTTGTATAGCATTGATGGTTTCTATAATTGCGACGTACAGTGGTGGTATTAAGAGGTGAATTAAGTCGGGTAAGTCTCCACTGAAGGCCCAGGTACCAAATGCACGGCCCGCCACTGCAAAATACTATGATTGTTAATACTTGGTTCTCTGGATAGAGAGTAGTTTGTAGCCTGCCTATTTAAAATATGACTATCAGGATATGTTTGGTGATATTCCATGTATTGTAAAGTTACTGTAGCAGTGGCAGTGACACGCAGCTCATGGAGGCAATAGGCTGCTCTTACTCTTACTGCTGATTGCTGTCATTTGTGTCAGGTACATCCAGTAGGTCCCCACCAGCTGGAGGGTAGATTTGGAATTAGTTTCAGATGCCCATTCTACTTTTACCAGTCTGTCTCTGCCATCCAATGCATCCCTTTTAAAAGAATAACAGAAAATGCTGCTAACACTGCACTATACTGAGAAAAAACAGGCAGACTGCAGCAGGGCTCTCTTGGGGTTTACACACATCATTAACCTGCTGACTGCTGCTAATTTTGGCACCCTGCAGTTCATTTGTACACACTGCTGTGTCAGAATCACATATAACCGAATTACTTAAGTGTCATCCACAGGAGTGGTGGTGCACAGTTCATCAGAAAAAAAGAATGGAGGTTAAATTCAACCTGTCTTTTCACCACATATAAAATACAAAATCCAGAGCACTTCAGTCAATTCTCAGTTCTTCTTCAGTGTTATCTATCTAGTGGTAAATAAATATTTGTGTTTTAAAGCAATAAAGACTGACCCAAAATTATCTTGCACTTTCATAACAACTGTAATTGGACACACAGGGCTTGACTGTATTATTACTTTCTTTATAGACCTGTCAGGAATTCTTCACCCTACGACAGCAAGATGTAATTTTTCCTTAAAGAAAAAGTCTAATGTTACTGTTTAAGCTCAATTAAATGCCACTGAAAGTCAAAAAAAATTCTCATATAAGCAACCTCAGCACTGGAGAAAAGAAGATAATTATTTGGGCTTATGACTTAAATTTTGGTGTCACTGTACAGTAAGACTTTAAAAATAATGCATTTTAAAAGAAGTCTTGTAAAGTATTACACAACAAATGGTAAAGAGAAAAGTTCAAAGGAAAACAGCTACAAAAAAACCTCAAAACAGATTAAAAATGTGCAGTAGACAACTGATCCCTTAGATTCCAGTATATTCATCATTCAGAAAGGGAAAGAAGAAGAGCTGGACTGCAGAAATACAAGTGTAAACAAAGCAGCTTTCATTCAACACAGCTGCTATTTATAACTGATGCTAAAGGAGAATATGTCTGATAAGACATTGCAAATGGCACTGATGTTGTCTGTCCTTGGTCTTTTGGTTGTGGAAGAACAAAGGAGGTCAGGGAGACAAAAAACAAGGGGTGGGTGAAGCAGTGGGTGAAATTATGGACACTACAGCGACAGGCTGACAGGACTTTCCCAAACCATTTTCTTCTCGTGGCTGAACTGCCAATCAGAGTGGTG